ACATCAATGCCCTTTTTTTTTAAAGCTTGCTTAGAAACCAGATTATTATAAATTACAAAATAATCTAAAGCCAAGTTATGAGACTGCATTTTGTAAAGTCGAAATTACTGCATGAATTATTTTTTCCATCCTTTCATGCCCGTTGTTCTATTTGAACAATACATTCTGATACATCTGGTGGACTTTTATCCTCCTCCTTTGCACAGTAAATTGTGACAATAGTGGTAGATTAAAAAAATAAAGTACAGCATGGTTCTTGAGTAAACAGTGCCTCTTTGGTGAAAGTTATATGCTGGGTTTAGACTAACATTTATATTAGTATATGACAGGGACTACGCTAGGAGCTGTTGTTTTTCTATTTTTTGAATGAATTTAATTCCAGAATGGAGGGGTGGATCCTTAGTTAGTTAGTAGAAGTTCTTCCTAATTTACATCCAGTAAAAATATAGCATGAGCCAAGAATTTCTGAGCCTTTGCAAGATTTTCTACTAAGCTCTTGTAAAACTGTTCAACAGCTTCAAGGAAAGCTTCCTCTACCAGCATTGCAAATGCTCACAATTTTTACAGTTTCAGTCTGTGCCTTTGCCAAATGCAATTTATCATCTACTTTCTTTGAATGAACTTCATTCTATGAAAGTGAGTTCATTAGTTTTATCTTTTTTCAATTTACAAGCAGTTCATAATCTGCTGTTCAAAACTTGGTAGAGCTGCTACTGAAATACTGGAAAATATCAAGGCAAAATGGAAAACATCCCACCATAAAGACTGCCCTAGTGCTCTGAGTACTTTTGGAAAAGAGTTGTAATAATAAAATATTATCAGTTTATCATCATGTAATTTTACCTAGGATAGGAGTTATGATTCATAGACACCACTAGAGATCAGTTAAGATTCCAGCCATGTGCCCAGATTTTTAAAATTTTGTAGCTTGAAGTTATTGAGTTTATGTTGGCATTAACAGCTGAGCAGAGATTCAATTTAGCAATTATTTGAATGTTACATTGTGCATATTCTTTGTGGGCTGTTTTATTAATTAAAATTAAAAATGCACATTACCTTTTTTTTTAATCCATAACTGTTTAATAGCTTGGGGTTTATTTGTTCTAGGTAGCAGTGTCACCAACACTGTTACAGTATTTTTGATAGGTTTCCAAGTAAACAAAAGTGGGATTTGCATCTGCAGTTAATATTGTTCTGCTTCCCTTTCCTTAGTGAGTTTGCTGTGTCTTAAATGTTGAGAAATCAGTGCAAAAATGCCTTTTATAAAATATTTAGCAATACTTTTCATGCCCATTAAAACATGGGAAGCCCTTGAGGTTCCAGCTTGCAAGAATTTCCATGTACACATTTTTTTTGTAGACCCTCTATGATCATACAGGTGTGTGTCTGACAAATCAAAAGGAAATGTGAATGATTAATATGGATCATTTCATGTAAATAGGAAATGCCAATGGCACAATGTTAAATATCACAACACAAGAATTAAGGGCATGAAGCTGATTGCCTATGCAATTAAAAGTTTAGGAGACAAACTATCTGATCTGGAACTTGGCCAAGGCATCTTGACTAACAAGCCTGCTCCTGCAAAAAAGTGCCAGAGGAATTCTGATATCCCTGTGTGGTCAAGATTTCTGCTTTGTCTAAATTAAGCCATTTTAAAACATAACACTGCCATATATATAATCCCATGCCAACATTTGGCAAAGCACTTCTTCTGTTCAAGCATTTGTGCTGGGGAAGGCTGACTAAATACAGCATCAGGGCAAACAGTTTTGAAAGCATTTATTTTGAATTTCATAGGAAGCCAAATGCTGTGCAAATCCCATTCTGTGACTGAAAGTTGCACCCTGTTCATTTATAGTGCTTTCATAGAAGTCAACAGGAGGACTGGTACCAGGTCTATAATATACTGTAAAAACTTTAAAACATCTTACAGTTGGTTGTTAAAATGACAGCAATTTGAGAGCAGTGATTGGGGGTTGAACTCAGCTTATGTTCTGCTTCCATCTGGTCTGCTACTGTTCTGTTGAAGATGGAAAACCACACACACACAGGATTGCACACATTATCCTAAGAGACAAATACTCTCTTTCACCTGTACAGTTCAGCATTTAGACTTGGCTCTTCTGCCTTATCTGTGAATCCCAGGGTGTGCTCCTGTATCCATCAGGTTCCATCCTGTCAGAGCCTACATCTACTGAATTAAACAGGACTCCTTACATAACTGAGGTTGTACATTTGTGGACAAACAACCCGTGCATCTCATCTGAAGTTCTCTCTCTCATGCAGAAGCCTCACCCCCGGGGCTCAGGAGGGGCAGCTGCTGCCTCAGGACTCTTGGCAGTCCCTGAGGTCACTGTGCAAACCCAACCAGCAAACACTGAGAAATCAAAGGCTTAATCTCATGAGGATGCTGAGGCATCCTTGAAAGCGCTCCCGTGGCACTGTACTCCTCTGCATCCTGGTGCTGCTCTGTGGAAAGCCACTTCACCTCTCTCCTGGTGTTTACCTGAAAGCATGTGGAGCACAAGTGATGGCAAAAGCAAATCCTACAGAAAGGCACCTGGAGATGTGAAGGCATTCCTGTTAGATGTTTTAAACTGCCTTTGGAATTTATTTTAGGACCTCTCTAGAATTTCTGTATTGTGAGGCTTCACTTAGAAACCATTAAGGAGAAAATCTAAACCTAGCTCTTTGGAATAAACAAAGTTATTTTCTGGCTGTTGGGGAAAAAAAATCAAACCAACAAACCTAATCTGTACCATAAACAAAAAATTAAGAAGAGATACACAAACTACGGCCCGATATGGTAAAGTACTTTCAGTGGTAGACTTGAGCAGAGCTTAAATGCAAAGTGTATTTCATCTACACTTGCATAGTTTACTGAGCTTAGTCAGAATTTCCCCACTGAAGCTGATAATGATTGATGCCTCTCCAAGATAGGTAAAATCCCAATCTCTGTAATTATGCTTATTACCCTGTTATGGTTATTAAGATTCTCCCTTTTAGAAGTATTCCAAGAATTAGCTGAGTTACAGCAGGTTATTAGTGCTCTACAAGCATCTTTTAAAGTAAGGAGACTATGGAATTAATTCTGCAGATTTTACTTTTATATCTGAGAACAGAACCGTAGGAAAAAAGGAAATGATTACTGGAATTCTAAATCAGATCCTACATTTGACCCTGATAACTTCAGAAGAGCTATTGCCCTAAGGCATGTAGGATCAGGGGTTATACATTGACCCATCATTTTGCATTTGGATGTAACCAGTGTAGTTTACCCAGGTAAACACCACCTTCTCTTCAAGAAGTGGAAATTCTATTAAGAGCTCAGTGCTTTAAAAATCATATAATTTTTGCTTAGGAGTCCAGGGTGCTGACCTATGTGTCTGACTTGATCCACCCAAACTGGGATGGGTTTATGGTTCACCTTATTTTAGATTAACAGGTAATTGCAAATAGCTCAAAGTATTTTGAAAGAAAAAATTAAAGTACACCAATCCCAACATATTTGCATGTTTTGACCTTATTTCCTATTGCAAGTTTGACTTCAATTTTTGAATGACTCAGAAAATTTACAGTGCTGTGAGACACCTCAAGATTCCATTGGATTCCCTTTTATAAAGTGTTGTACGTCTGTTGAAATCCTGCAAGATGCCACTCACAGCAAAGAACTTCTGCTTTCTTAAGGATGTAAATACCTATTTGGCAACGTCCCATTCAGCAGGATTATTTATAGGATTGTTTTTGTGTTTTAACCTTATTATCAGAAATAAACAGTAACACACATACTCCCTCCACTGATAACATCCCTTGTTAAAACCTGTTTGCTCTATTACAAGCAGTGTTATGTCACACTATTTATCATTGCTGCGACCAGATAACACAAACATGAAAGAGTAACCGGTGTCATTCAGCTCTGGAAGGCAGTGCTGGATCAGAGTCCTCTCTTAACTCATCTGCATCGCTCACGCCCGGGCTCTGACACTGCCTGCTGTCCCCCATGACCACTCAGTCGGGGTTTGAGTGCTGTGCAAAGCAAACCCGAGCGGTCAGCTCGCACTCCTGAGGCTGCAGCTCCTCTCTGAACAGCCTGGCTGCTAACACCACACGCAAGGCTGGTGCATGATAAAAGCACTTCATCGCTCCTGGCAGTGAACACCAAGCCAGGCTGGGTCAAAGCAAAGGAACAAACCTGGGAAATTAATGTAGATCTTTACTCCACTTTGATACCTCCTCCTTCAAAACAGACTTGGCTTTCCAAGGAAGAGCCATGTGAAGGAGAGTGGGAGTCAAGGTTAAAGGCATCAGGTCCAAGGCACTGGAATGTTTTTATTAAGGAGGGGTGTGCTCTGCCAAGGCAATGTAGATCAGTAGGATCATCAGACAAGATTTCTGCCTAAAATCTTGAAGTCTCTTCACCATGTGTTTGAATTCATTCTACAAAGTCATTCCGTGGCTTAGCAAAATTAATCCTCATCCCATGTGGGGAGGGAGGAATAGAAATCCATCACATTCAAACACAACACACTGAACAAATCGACAGTTTGAGTGTGGTGTGAAACCTTTGCAGATTTTGCAAAGCAAGTGCTCTGTCTTTTCCCTTATTGTTTGCCCTTCACTTGACATACAGGAAGAGATGCATCAAGAGGATGGCAGGAGACATGTGTCACTTAAAGCATGCCACAACAATGTTTGCCCTGGAATACTCCCTCGAATCTGTTTGAACAAGCAGGCATCATACACGGCAAAACACACCGAGAACTTCACCTAGTTACAAAGTTGACAGAACCCCTCAGCCACCCTCCCCCGCCGAGCAGCGCCAGCCCCGGGCACGCCGCTCCCTCCGGCCCTGAGGCGGAGCGCCGCGGCCACACCGCACCAGGTCACTTGTTGCACAGTGCCAAGGGTGGCCTCTCCCCTCCGCTCAGCCCACCGAAAGTTGGCGGAGCCGCTCGTCGGCCGATCCCGCCCCGAGGTGCCCGTGTGCCGCCGCTCACCTGCATGTGTCCCTGGTACATCCTGCCGCGGCCGCTCCGCTGCCCTCAGGCCGGCAGGTCGGCTGTGCTGCGCGGGGGGCACTGCTCCGGCCGCTCGGCTACAAGAAAGGAAAAAAAAAAAAAAAAAAGGGAAAAAAAAAAAGGAAAAGGGAAAAAAAAAAAAGGCTAACCCTGAAGGAGCTATTTTTGGCTAGAGCTCCGTTTGTCCTGGCAGCTCCCGTACTGGTTTCAGTAACCCAGAGCTGTTCGGCGGCCGCCTCTCGCCTCGCTGCCGGTGTTTCCCCTGCCAGGCGGTGCCGGCACTGCCCGGGAGCGGTGCTCGGGGCTGCTGGGCAGGCGGGAGGACGCGGGCAGGGCTGCGGGCGGCCGGGCGGGGAGAGCCGCGGGGCGGAGCGGGGCCGCCGCTGCTGCCGGGCCTCTTCCCGCCCCCCTTCCCTCCTCCTCCTTCCTTCTCTCCTCCCTTCTTCCCTCCCTCTCTCCCTCCGCAGGGGGAGCGCGCAGCATCCAGGGAACGCGCGGAGCTCCGCGGCCGCCGGGCGGAGCCCGCTGGGGTCCCGCTGGAGCCGCGGTGCCCCGGCCCCACCGCCCCGCCAGGGCTGGCGGCTCCCGCTGCAGTCATTAACAGAAAAAAAAAAAACAACAAACCAACGCGAAAAAAAAAAAAAAAAACCACAAAAAACCTGCTAAGCATAACAGCAAAAATCGGAGCGTCCCGGAGGCAGGGCTCGGCAAGAGCTGAATGTGGCAGCGGAGCCCCCGCGGAGGGCGAGTTTGGGCTCCCCGCGCGGAGGCGGAGGGGGCGCGCAGGGAGCGGCTCCGGCGCGGGCGCATCCCGGGAATGGGCGCTGCCCGCGCTCCCGGCCGCGGTTAACCGGGTTTCAGCCACAGGACCGGGCCCTACCTTGTGCTCTGCGTATGAAGAGCGAACGTGATCTCTTGCGATTCCCAGAAAATATCAGGAGACTTGTTCTGGCTTGGTAGTACCGCTTAGTAGCGTTTTTCAATGCTTGCCAAAGGCGCTGTTATATAGGCAAAAATCTGGCACCGGCCCGTACGTGCAAGATTCTGACCTTGTAAACTGGCACAACAGGCCTGGCTAAATCCTGAAGGAGACACCTGCATCATCTTGGATCCAGCTTTTTTCTCGTCTTCGCCACCTCAAACCTGAAACTCCCAATCTGCTAAAAGGAGCAGCTTCAATTTCATCGTAAATTTCTGTCCTAGCCAGTGTGTCTATATTCGGTAGCACAGAAAACCTCCAGCGCCTGGAATTTGCTAGATTGTGTAATTTCTTGGCTCTGAGCTCTCAAGTTTCACTATTAAACTACACAAAACTTTATGATGCTTTTGATAGACCAGAGCAATCCAACCTTAAGCATGCTCCTGTACTAGAGCAATGCAAAATAGATTTCTTATTCCTGAAACCAGCACATTTGTATCATCACAGCTCTCATTTCAGCTGACTAAAAATGCCGTTTTGAAGTGTTCCCATTCAGCTAAAAAAATGGGTTTTTGCAGAACATGAGTTCTTAAAGTCTTCAGTGATGGCATAAGCAAAATCTATCCAATTATTTTTTTCACTTAGGCTTAAGAGTTTTATCTTTTAGATAGATAGCAAAAGTGACAGTTCTCTTACATCCAGTGGATATGTATCCAGCTCACTGAGATTTTCAGAGCAGCTGAGGAGTTTAGCCATGTATTGGTGATAAAAGGAAAGAAGAAATGAATATTTTTTTGTCTAAATCCCTTAAGCTGCTTTGAAAACCTCAATTAAGAGCTGATGAGCTTAAAATACGCCTTTGGGATTGTCCGTACATGTTAGACATATATTACTGTAAAACTTCACAAAGGGTGGCTGCACTTAGGTGAAAATATCAGATTTGAATTATCATGGTTTCACTTAAAATACACAATATGGAGAACAGATTTTTCGGATGTAAATATTTGGCTGCCTTTGTCTCAATTTATAAGATTAGATCTAGGTGAAAACAACCAAGTCCTATTTAAACTTGGAGCCTTGATGTCTTTGCTGTTTGTTGAGATTTATTAGACTCTTAAGCTTTTAGTAATCTTGGAGGTGCAATTTTTCACTCTGACTACAGTAGATCCAGAGTGTCCATTCCTGTGTCAGTGTGCAGGTTTTCTACAGTAGCTGAATGTTTCTAAGGCACTTGAAAATATATTTTTCTTAGGTTTTTTTTTATTGCTATTGTTGTTTTAAGTCTGAGGCTCTTGTGTTTTTCTTGGGGGAGAACTGGGGGAAATTTGTCAGTGCCAGTGTGTTGCAATATCTGCTTTCTCTAAATCTAAGTATATGCATTGTGGCTTAAATTTTTTCTACAGGGTATGAAAATCACACCTGTAGTAGAAGAGTTGTTAATTTAGCAATGCTTATTCATGCTGTGTTATTTGTGAGTGCAGGACAAAGAATTTGTCAAGATCCAAATGCTAGAGATTAATAGTGTAGTGTGTTTCAGGCATTTTTCCTAATGCATCTGAAGCAGGTGCATTTGTTGCACAATTTGTTGATGCAATTGCATGTTGATGTCACATTTTGGCAGGATTTGAGTGATCCAGTAAAGCCAGATGGATCCAGATTTTGCCTTTTTCCTTAGCAGGGGCTAAATCACTTGGCACTGGTTAGGGAGGAAGCTGGCAGAGCAGCAGTCAGTGCAGAGCAGGGATGGAGGGAGAGGAGTGCAGGGACAGAGGGGCTGCCAGGGGCTCCTGCTGCTTGAGGAAATCAAATATGGTTCAGCCCAAGGCACGCTCACAAGTGCTCTGCTTCCACAGGTGTAAACTCTGCCTTTGCCCCGCTCTTCACAAGAAGCTTCAGTGAGATTGTTTCTCTCTCCATCTAGTCCTAATCTGCAAGCAGTGTATGATCCTTATTGCTCAGTTACACTGCAGCTTCAAAAATGCAGTGCTGGGTGGCACAGAAAGCATTAGTGTGTAATTCTGTACCATGCATATAAAGGCAAGTTCTTTACAGCTTAGAAACAGGTGGGTGCCAGGATCCATGATCTCCTCTGACTCTGCTCTGTTTATGAATGTGAAAATCTGTTTTGTTGCAGGGCATAGATAATCGCACAAGGTTCACTTGCTTAAAATGCTTTGAAAACATTTTTCTTTTGTGTTCCCTTTTGGTCTGTCTCTGTGGCTGCATTAATATTTGAATCAGTGATGTCTGTGTGCTATGATCTCTCTAAGCTTTGTTGTTTGTTATTGCAAAAATGGAAAAAAACATGGTAGAAAATATGAAAGTCATAATGTTTGTTAAGGAAAGAAAAGTCACCATATGGCTCAACAGATTTTAATTAATATTAAATTGCCAGGAGAAATTTTGAGAGAACTCAAATAAAAATCCTTTATTTTACAAATAAATGCTCAGATTTTGTTTTTGAATACATTGCTGGGGCAATTGGGAGTATTGTGAAGCCTGCAGACAGTAACAGGAGAGCATTCTCAGAAATACAAAGTGCACAAGGTGATTTTGGAGAAGCTGGCAGCTACCTAGTTACTGTCAAAACCCTGACACTTAACTGCCCCTGGGAAGTGGTAGAGATTTCATTCCTTTAGACCTTACTGATATTTCTGTCATCCTGTAAACTTAAAATACTCTTAAATCACTGACTGTGAAACTGCACACAACCATTTCTATAGATTCCCAGTTAAGAACGCTTATCTAACATTCTTCATTAACACAGGGATGGGAATGGCAGGGTCTGTGATTTCCACTCCAAGAAACCACATGGCAAGGGTGGGTCACGATTTTTATTAGGAAAATCTTGAACATGAACAGATAAATAAGCCTGCACACTTCGTGTAGAAAAGTGAAAATATCCTTGAAGTGTTCAATGGAAGAGTTTGAAATGGAAATTGAGGGGATGGGTTGTAGCACTGGAGACTTGGAGGGGCCACTTTGGGGAGCTTGTGCCTTTGGAGGCTGCTGTACTCATCACTCAAGGATGCTTCTCAGATCCCTCTGAATCTCTGGGGTTTCTCAGGTGTGACAACAGGTTGTGCTGCCAGCATCCAACAGTAGCACATGTTTGGTCATAAAGACACAGATTTGCTGCTTTGTTCAATAATAGATTAATGTTCTGGTGCATATATGTTGTATAAAACATCAGTCTATTAGCTCATGTAACCATGGAGATAAGTAATTTGCATACATGGAAACTTTGGGTTAATTTATGCCTAGTGCCTATATTTTTTTAAGAAATAGATTTCTACAAACATTATTATTAATAAATATTTTCATTAATGCTGTTTTCTGCTGAGAATAATTGGCCTAATTTGTGAAAACATGGAGCTGATTAAAAATTAACAACTGAAAATAACCTAACTTATTCTTAGACTCAAGTGAGATTGCAAAAAACCAGTAAAAATTAATATATTAATATATTAATAGTGTTAAACTTTATCAATAACATACAAATAGGATTTGTGATATTGTTAGTTCTGACAGATTCTAATTACACTTTATGCTCTGTTTTCTAGTGGCAGTTATGAAAGGTATGAAAGGTACAATCACACATTAGTGAAAGTGCTAATTATATTATGTGTATTTACACATTCCTTTCCTGTGCTAATGTGTTTATATATGTTTAGGGAATACATATAAAGAAGGTTTTTGAGATCCTTTATGTGCTTTAATGAATAATAAATGTGAAAAAGACACAATCCAAAATTAATTTTAAAATTCTAAAAGTTTTGCTAATGATGCACATACAATGTTTAATTAAACAGACTCAGTATAGGAACCACCAGCCACAGTAACAAATGGCAATTAGGTTGCAGATAGTGCAAGTAGAATACTGACAGTGTAAGTCTTCATTTTGTTGGAGTCACACCACTTTTATCTACCTGCAGCTCTGTATCTGTTAGTAAATACCAGCCTAGAACTTGTCAGCAGAATGAAGAATAATATCACATTATTACAGATTGTAACCGGCATAATCGCAAACTCCCAGTCCCGTTTCAGTGGGAGTTTCTGTTGCTGTGGCCCTGCTTTGTGTGTGGCAGGTCCCTTGGTGCCCCAGTTTGATGTGCAGGTAGTTTGATGTGCTGGGAGTGGCACAGGAGGAGCAGCCCAGCTCTCTCCTGGCCAACTCTCCTTGTGGCACCTGTTGGAGCAAGATTACTACTGTGATACTACAGAATCCCAGAATAATTCTGGTTGGAAGGGAGCTCTGGAGTTTATCCAGTCCAACCCCTGCCAGGGCATGGCCCCCAAAGCAGGTGACACAGGAACAGGTACAGGTGGGTTTGGGATGTCTCCCGACAGGAGAGTCAGTGCCCTCCCTGTGCTGCTCATCCCAGTGCTGTGCACCCTCAAGGTGAAGTTCTTCCTCATGTGAAGGTGGTACTTCTTGTGGTGAGTTCATACTTAGTCTGTGCTCTCCTGCCCATACCTGAAACAAGTGCTCTGGAGAAATTGTGACTCACCTTGGGAGAGGTGAGCTCTGAGTGGGTTTGCACCGAGCTCACCTTTCCCACTTGAAATGAGCTCAGCAGGAGCTGATGCTGCCATGAGCAGCCACTGAGAGAGGATACAAGCCATGGGCAGGGAGTAACACATCATCCACATCAAATCATCAAACCAGAAAACAGGAAATTGCCTCCCAGTGGGTCTGTCCTGCCTTTACCCCGCGTGGCTGTGTTCCTTAGCACCATAGTTACTGTTTGTGCAACCACGCAGCCAGCTCCTGGCACAGGAGGTTTTCTTTGATTGCACAGGAGCTGGTTTGGATGTGTAGTGATGCTGTTCTCCACACAGAAATGCCTCATGCAGAAAGGATCATCTGCCAGTGTAGACAAAGCAAAGAGGAGATAGCATGGCTTCCCACTCTGTAACCTGATTGCAGATCCCAGGAAAGCTCCATGTCAGTGACCAAATGGCCATTCTGGGAAGTTTTCCTGAATTTGGACTCTGGTGTGCATCTGCTGAAGTCAACACAAGCCTTTCACTGACTCCATTGAACAGATTTCATGGATAGGGGCTTCATCTGCACAAGTGCTGCAGACTTGTAACCCCACCATTCCTCATTTATGAAAAGGTTTCATGGAAGATTTTTAACCCCCAGAGATATGCTGGTCCTGCAGCTGCTGTGATTGCAGTGTAGGACAAATGTGTTGGGGTTGATTCTGCAACCCCATTAAAAATCTCACAATGTGGAAGTCCACAACCCAACAGACAATCAGCTCCAGTTCTTAACTATCCTACTATTTG